CTGTCTCTATTAATTGTGAGCTCCATGGATTTTTCCCTGGGAGGAGATGACTAAGGCAAGGGGATCCTTTCTCTCCTTATTTATTTACACTAGTTATGCAAGTTCTCACTGCGCTGGTCTGTAGTAAAATTGAGGGGAATGATGGCTTCAAGTACCATTTTAGGTGCAAGAAGCCAAATCTTAGTCACCTTTGTTTTGCAGATCATCTATTTCTTTTCTTCCATGGAGATACTTATTTGGTTTCGATCATTAAGGAAGCTCTTTCAGACTTTGCTCAGGTCCCCGGGTTAAAGCCTAATCCCTTGAAAAGTGCTATGTCTTTTTTTTTTTTTTTTTTTTTTTTTTTTTTTTAATGTTAAGGAGGAGATTCATGCTCAACTTAGAGACATTATAGGTTTTTCTAAAGGTCATCTCCCTGTTAGATATCTTGGGGTTCCGCTGATTACCGCAAGGCTTAAACACAATGATTGCATTTGTTGAAGGTTGATGCTGTGCTGGAAGTAGATTGACGAATGCATGTGAAACCTGGAAGAGTTTCTACTCTGCATGGACTGCATGGGAGTGCTTCTCTCCTTAGTAACTTAAAATATATTGTAGTTTAATGTTAATCCTTTGTTTAATGACTCAACTTTTGTAATGAAGTTGTTAGCCTTTTGTGTGGCTTAGCTTAGATTAAGGAAAAGTTTCGACTGGTTGTTGAAACAGTTGTTGAAGTCTGTTATATGCAGGTTTTGTCTAATGAAAATTATGTCCAGCTTTTACGTTTCATCTCTCTTCTTCTTTGAATGACCAGCTTCTAAAAAACGAACAGCATTCCTCTCATTAAGAAGATGGAAGATGGAAAAAAGGTTGAAGTCACGGAAGAATAGGTTCCTTTCTTATGTTGGGAGGCTTCAACTTGTTATCACTGTCCTCTCCTCTATGCAAGGTTATTGGGCATCCCTTTTCCTTCTACCGAGTTCTATGACCAAAGCTTTGGAAAAACTGATGAGAAGCTTCCTTTGGTCAAGGAATGAGCTTGTTAATGGTAAGGTTAAAGTTGCTTGGAAGGATTTATGTATGCCAAAGGCAAATGGGGGTTTAGGCATTCGTCCTCTGAAAGTATGGAATTATTCTCTGATGATCTCCCATCTTTGGAGTGTTGTGGTTAATAAAGATTCATTATGGGTGAAATGGATTAACACTTTTCAATTAAAAGGTAGGAGTTTTTGTTAATGTGAAGGTGTCGTGGGATGCTAGTTGGAGTTGGTGGAAGATTCTCAATTTAAGGGATGAGGTTCAGAAGCACATTGGGTCCAAGTTGGGTTGCGGGGCTTCTATTTCTCTGTGGCATGATAATTAGCACCCTCTTGGCCCTTTGGATGGGATTATCCCTAAGTGATTGATCTATAAGGCTAGAATGAGCCTTATAGCCAGGTTAGTGAGATTATTCTTAACAGGCAATGGAATTGGCCAGAGGTAATTCGTGATAGATTCCCCCAGGTTGTTAATCAGTCTCCTTTTATACCTGTTCCTATTAATGGAGATGAGATTTTTTGGAGGACAAAGGAAGGTAAACTGGTGTGCTTTTCTATGAGACAAGCTTGGAGGGACTTGTCCCCAGGTGGCTCCAAAGTCTCTTGGCATCATCTTGTGTGGTTTGGTCAAAACATTCCTCACCACTCCTTCATTTTGAGGTTAGCTATTAAAGGTAAATTACTTACACAAGACCGGATGAGGAGGTGGGTGACTACGACTTGCATGGAGTATGCTCTTTGTAACGGTTTTATGGACTCCCATGACCACCATTTCTTTGCATGTCCTTTCATTGTTTCTATTTGGCGTAAGGTCCAAGATAAGGGTAAGTTTAGAGTTCCTGTGGGAGATTGGCAAAGTTCCATTGACTGGTGTACGTGTAATCTTATGGGCAAAGGAGCTACATCGATTGTTTATCACCTCCTTATAGCTGCTATGGTTTACTGGATCTGGAAAGAGAGAAATTTGCGGCTTTTTAACAGTGACAAACACAGCCCCCAATGGGTTGAGCTTCAAATCATGTCAGTTGTTAGGCTCAGGTTGGTTAGTTTTAAGTTCAAGAACACTATGCATGTCCGTAATTTATTGGAGGAATGGGGTATCTCTAGATGTTGCATTGGTGAGAAATACAGGGATGATTCTTGTATCCTCTAGTTGTGGATTTTTTGTTGGTTATTGGTGTGCTAAGATGTCGGCCTTTTGGGAGACTTGGGGTTATGACGGGGATGGTATAATTGTTTGGAGGTGACGACAATTTATTTACATGAATATAACTTTTATTATTTTACCCCAATTAATTAACTTTTTGGATAAAATTACTCTTGAATTCAAAACAAATTACAACCCACTCAAGCCATTACCCCCACCCACCTACCGCCACTTGTCATCAACAACCAGCGCCGCTTATTTATATTAAATTTAATTAATTGGAAAATCAATTAATGTTTTAAATATAAATTAGCAGGATATACTATATAGTAATTAAGTTGGGCTTAAAATAATAAAATAGTAATAATAATAAAGAATTAAAATTAAAAAACTGGAACTAAAAACACATATTAAAGGCTGCGTTTGTTTCACATTTGGGAATACTACTTTTAGTATTCCCAAAAAAGTTAAACAGTAAATTACCCAAAATTTCAGATTTTTGGGAATACTACTCCCAAAATTATTCAACTTTTTTTAAACCCCTTAAATTTGATAATTTAATTAAATACCCCTAAATATTTTTTTTTAAATTACAAAAACACCCCAATAATCCAAATTTACCAGATTCCGGCCACCACCACCGGAAAATGGCCGGAATCTGGTAGAATGGCGCACTACCGGCTGAATCTGGCCGGCAGTGCGCCGATCTAGCCTTTTCCGGCCAGATCCACGGTGGATCTGGCCGGAAAAGGCCAGATCTAAGGCCAAAGATCTGGCCGTTGACGGCCAGATCTTTGGCCGTAACACTCGGTCACGACGGCCAACAAACGGTCGTCGTTGACCATCAACGACGACCGTTTGTTGGCCGTCGTTGAGAGTAAATACGGCCAGATCTGGCCGTTGACGGCCAGATCTGACCGTAGATCTGGCCTTTTCCGGCCAGATCCACCGTGGATCTGGCCGGAAAAGGCCATAGCGACGCATGACCGGCAAGATCCAACCGGTCATGCGCCCATACGGCGACTCCGGCCACCTCCGGTGGTGGTCGCCGGCTGGGGGTGTTTGAGGGTGGGTTAGGGGTATTTTTGTTAACTTTTAATGTTTTATTATAGGGGGTATTTTGTAAAAAAACAAACATAAAGGAGATTTTATTAATTTATAAATTTTACCTAGTAATACCCGCCCAATTCAACTTTTTTTTAACTTTTTTCAAAAAACTTTTCCCAAAACCCTCAAATTTTGAACCAAACGCAGCCAAAATTGTTGGGTTTGGTGACCCGCTGCCTATAGAAGTCCATTATGAAATTTATGTTATAGGGAAATACTGTAACTTTTTGCAATGGTATTTATTGAGTTGTTGATAAACATATTTTAATTATTTGTAATAAATTAGGTTTGAAATCAAAATAAGAGTATTTATAATAGTTAAAAGTCAGAATATACAAAAGTTAAAAATACGTAGATAACCCACAACACGCAGAACCCAACCCCATTTCTTGAGAGATCTTACAAAGGAGTGGATTACAGATGTCATTTACTGTAGGAGTGAAGATCAAGCAGTTGATATTTTGATTTTTGACCAAGCCACTCAAATTGGCAACATTCATGAAGTTGAGAAAGTTACTGGGTGAAAATAGTTAAACTGAAAGTTATAGACTTATCAGTCTAAGGGACGGATTGTTGAAATTCTTTATTTAAATGGCTTTAATTGTGGTAGTTGTTCAATTACTGGATGTAGGCTTTGTGGACGCTAAAGCCCATATAAGGCTTGTCATTTATTGCATTATTTCAGTTTTTGTTTCAATAGCTTTGGCGTATCTCTTCTCCTTCTTTCCACTTGCAACACAAACATCATTCATTACCCATTTTTTTTTTTTAATAAATATTTTTAGCCCTCACTTAATTGATCTTCACCCACCACTTTCAAATTTATTTTTTTGTTTTAACAAATTTTACCTTAATTTCATAATGCACTCATGTTCCATCTAATATCTTTGTTTTGATTTTTAACATTCCCTAATCCTAAATTATCATGATCATTGAAACCTTTTGTTTTATTTTAAATATTTGTTTGTTTAATGAAAATATAATACTAAAATTATGGGATAAATCTAAATCTAAAGAAGAGAAAATAAGTTAAAATTAGAAAATTGGGGGGAAAATGTGTTTAAAAAAAAAAAAAACCTAATTAAGTTTGAATGTGAAAAAGGGTGTAAAACAAAAACTAATTATATTTGAAATTGGGAAAAATAAAAATAATTAAACTTAAAAGATTAATTTTCGGTATTAAAAGAGATTATTAATTTTCAACTCATGATTAGGGGTAAAGGTTAATTAGATGGGAACTAAAATCACTTCCTTGTAATCAATTCACTTGTTAATCTTTGGATTACTAATCGTTCAGGTTTCATTAATTTGCTTTTTGTGTGCCTTTAAGTTTTATAAACTTCTTGCCTCTATGAATATTTTGAAGTTGGGAGTTATTCTCTTCAACCCAACTAACACATATATCGCTTATTAATTACCACTCTTTATTATCGGACTAAACTAACTCAAATTTTCAAAAAATATATATATATAATTACAAATTTATCTCTATATTAAATTGATAAATATATCGTTATTTCCTTATTCTTTACAAATACTAAAATTTGTGTTTTAGAAATAGTGATAATGGGGGCATACAGCATTAGTGAGGACAATTAGAAAAAAAGAATTTATCGTGAAATATTTAAATGGGATGTGATGTCTTAAAAGTATTAATTTCAAAATAGAACGAGTAAACAAATTGTTGTATAAAAATTTCGTTGAAATATACACATGTAAACACAGCCAAGTAAACAAATATATAAATCAATAAAAGAAGAAATGCGGTTTTGAATTGAATTTCTACAACTTAAAAAGGACAACTGACTGGTTGGATACAAAAATGAAATTGAAAATAGGAATGTTTAAATGTGGTAATCGGCCTTGGAGAAAGGGCGGATGAATGCAGAATTCATTTGCCAAATCTTGAGTGAGCTAGTAACACTTGTCTCAGTTGCATTGTTGAACAAAAACACCCTTGCATCTCCATATATTGCCTTTGTTGGATATACTCTTGATGTTATACATGTTCTTCCACCTTGAGCAAACCCTTCTACTATTGAATGATCCACCTGTAACATTCCCAGAATTCATTAATTAATTCCTCACATTCTCAATGCTAAAAACTCAACTATAAATCAAACTCACCAATACTCTCACTGACAATTTTTCTCCTTTTAGTACTGGAACGAAGCTCCCATAGATGTGTTTGTTAACATCACTTGCCTCAGAAGACCTACAAACAGTTTAACATTAACAGTTGGTGTTTTTTTTATGAATTAACCTTCCCAATTAAGGCAACACAGGTTTTATACCTTGATTGATCGCTGCAGAAGAAACTTTTGAGATTTCCATCTTTCTCTTTCGCAACATAGAAATATACAGGAGTCTGCTCAGTGAGGTGCTCATCGGCCAGAACTACAAGGCCAAAGGGTCCTAATGCGCCGCGTTCAGCAGCACCCCCACTGCTGCTGCAGCTGAACTCTACTTTCGATGCAGATGTTCTGTTCAAAGCCTCCATCTCTAACTCAAATTCAGCTACGATATCCAACTGTTACATTGCCAAGCATTTCCTTGTAAGATCAAATTTTCTTACTTTACTTTATAAAATATATATATATAAAGCATATTATATACCTGAGTCGCTGGCCCAACTTCAAGTGGTACCACTGAACCTGGCTTGAGCTCCACATTGTCAAATTCCCTGCTGGTCAATCTCAAACTATTCACCTCCTTCACTGGCCATTGGAGTAGATTGCTACCAGTTTTCTGGTCAAATACCACTGTCCTTGGAATGCCCTGAACATTAAACAAAGTCATCATATGAACACCAAGTACACCATATATATATATATATATATATATGACTTCCCAACAAGGAAAATATAGTACCTGAAGTGATGCCCATCCTTTCTTGACATCAGCAATTTCACTATCAGATTCCCCAATCCAACCCCACAAAACTCTCCTCCCATTGTGCTGATCATAAAAGGTCTTGGACGCATAGAAAATACCATAATCGTATCTAATTCCGATGCCAACATCAATCTTGGGATTGTCTGGAATCCATGTACCATTCTTCTCATAATAAGTACCAAGTGCATAGTAGTCATGTCTATCATCATCCAGGCTTGTCTTCATAACATGTTTCACTCCAGGGCCATTAACTGATGTGTCCAACCCATTTTCTATTGTTGTTGACACAGGATAAAAATCTACACATTCCCACATCCCTGTTCCTGAGACACCATGTAATTCTTTATCCAACATCTTATAATTAATGAAATCTTCAGTTTCATATACCAAAGATATGCCAGTTTTATTTATTTTGGAGCCAATAGTAAGACGCCACTTCCCTTCAGAAGTGTACCAAGCTGTCGTTGGATCTCGGAAATCCTTGGGACCAATCCCTGGTGGGGGGACTAGAACCGGGTTTCCGGGGTATTTTACCCAATTGGTGAGGAAAGGATCAGATGGGTCAGCAGGATATGCAAGATTTTGAACCTGGACTGACTCATTGGTGGATCCAGTGTAGAGCATAATAAGTTTACCGTCAGGAAGGATTGTGGCTGAGCCAGTCCAGACACCGTTGATATCATACCATTGATCAGCAACCATGGCCTCAGGGAGATGAAGCCAATGGACCATGTCCCTTGATACAGCATGACCCCAAATAATGTCACCCCACACTGCAGCTTTTGGGTTGTACTGGTAAAACAAGTGATACCATCCCTTGTACAACACTGGACCTGTGATATGTTGCAGGTAAATGATATATATTATTTAACAACTCATTTTCAAAATTCATTCAGAATTGCAATTATATAAACATATTCTCTAAGTAGTTTAATATTATGAAGTGTCAGCTACACAGTAACATGTAGGCCAGTGGTTTGGAGGATCCAGACAATATCTTCAATTTACCAGTCTATTTTAGAAAGGAAATTCTTAGTTGGCAATCATGGAAGCTCTTGGCTTGGTAGATCTCAAAAAAAGATAAATAAATTATAGATTAGTTTATTAGAAACTAAATGGCCAAATTCAAACCACAATTTTGTAAAAGTTGAAAATACTGTATATTAAGATTGTGAATAGAGGTAAGCATGTGTTAAGAAATAAAAATAAGCAGCAGTAATAGTAACAGGGAAAGGAGAAAGACATGTGGCAGACAAAAGGAAAAAAGAAAGAGGGCTCACCATTAGGATCTGAACCACCGCCAACAACAATTCCACATCAGAGCAATCATATTCATTCACAACAAGCAAACAAAAGTCAGCATTCAATTAACAAAATTAATGCAAGCCATATTTATTTGGACAATAACACGGTAACACCTATGTTTTTTCTTTTGAAAATTTTGACTTTGACTCATCCTGACCATGATGTCATCACTGTAGATATAAATTCCAAAATTTCCTTCAAAAAGTTAACTTATGAAAAATAAATAAAGTGGCAGGTCTTAAAAATTCCCAAAAGTAATGTAATGCTTTTTCATAGAAAAAAAGAAAAAAGTGTAGCATTGGCATATTGAATTAGAAAAGTAGAAAGAAAGAATGTACCGTTCATCCAATTCTTTTCAGGCTGAAAATGGAAGGCCGTTCTTTGCCATGACAACATGGTGTTATTCCATGGGAAAGACCGGGCATTGGAACCGAGCCGCCGATTCGACTTATCGGAGACGCCGGCCGACACCCCACGAGCCAATGGCCGTACTATTCCGCGTTGGAATGATGACTTATGATCATCATTACTTTTATATTTTAAATGGGCATTACGTAATGATCCCTGGTCGTTAACTAATGCAACAAAAAAACCGACCATCAACAACCCACAAAAGGCGACGAGGAGCACCTTGGTGGGGTTGCGGCGGCTCAACGAACGTTGTTCAGAAGTGGGGTCGGCAAGAGTTGAAGCTGGCAACAATGGATTCGGATCCGCCATGAAGAAAACAATGTAAAAACAACAATGGGAAAGGGAAGGAAGAGACAGAGAGAAGAAGATGGTATATCCTTAAAGGTTGCAGCCTTGCTATATATATATATATGACATTAATTGAATGGCGAAACTGAGGGAGAGGTAATTTAGAAATTGTCAAATAATTAAACAAGTAAACTGGAACGGACAACTGGAAGTTGAACGTATGATTGATGATTTATCCCTATTAAAAAAAGAAAAAGAAAATATGACCTGTGCTGTGTTTGAGTTTGACTGTAAATAATAATATTAACCTTGCAAAAAACAACAAGGTTTATGTGTGTTTATTCTCGTGCTTGGTGGCCCTAATCCCGGAATTGTAAAGCTAATGTTTCTGCTCTCTGTAATAATTACTTTGTATTTTTTTTTTTATTATTGTAATTTATAAGGGTTATACTTTACTAAATATGTCCTACTTCAATCAGGATTCCGATATTTGTTGTCATCTCAATCTATTCTTTGTTTAGGATAGCTGTTCTCTATAATAACCGTTAGATTGGTTTTCAGTAAATCCAATGGTCGTCTCGTGGGTTAGGGTTATCCTTTTTGTTTAGTGTTGTGGTAGGATTTCTTATTGGGTTTAGAGTGGAATTTGATCTTATCAAACTTGCTATATTTCATTCGATTATTTGAATGAAATAATTGAGTTGGAAAGTGTATAAAAATTGACGATATGACCTATACGACGAGAATGATTGAGTGGCGAAAGGTAACATACAAAAATTAGATGATTGAAAAATTTGATTATTGAAGGAGATTGATTAGGTTATGTGGGGTCAAAGCACGTGGCTGGCTCCAATTAACTTCAACCAAACAGGGATCAGTAAGTAATTGCTGAGTCAGATTGAAAGGTGATGCTGATGGGTGTTAATTTATACAACAAAAAATGTGAGAGGCACATGCTTATAGGAACACTTGTTTGGCTATATTGATGAGATTTGTCGCCCCACTCCTGACTTTCATAATTACAGAAACAACAAGTAATTATATGCCAAACAAGACAAAACATTTTTAAATAATAATGTGATTGTGCACGTTTCCCACATGCAATGGCATATGGTTTCACATGCATTTTGGTCCAATTATATTTTGAAACAGATAAGAGAATATGGTTACAAAATTAAATTGAATATTTCATCGATAATTCTATAACCCTATGTTTTGTCCAAATAGATGAGGCCATTGTGTGTATGTGGAAATTGGAATCCAGTGTATTATTATAGCTTTATGATTCTTAATTAAATGGGTAAACAATGAGATTAGAAATTTCTAGAATCTAATACACCTGCCACAATTGATTGATTGATTGATTAAGCCAAGGTTGGGTGAACTTGGAAGTCAATTTGGGATTTACATCTATTCACCGCCTCCGTGTCCAACACAACCTTTAGAAAATAAGCAAATAAAATGATAATTGTCTTGCATAATGCATATAGATCAAACCGTTTTAAATTTTGGAAATCCAAATGACATCATTTCCAAGAAAAGGAATGAAAAGAGAAATGAATATATCCACAAAATGTTTGGAATGCAACAGTAGTGAATTATTGAAGTGATGATGTGGAAAGGTCTCACCAATTTCAAAAGTTCTGCCACTCATTGCCACAGAGAATACAGGAGATATGGGTAATGACACGAATACACAAATACTATGGCATGATTAGGACCAGATGCTTATCACTTCAAACTCTTTTTGATTGAGTCCAACCATGTACCCTACAAGTTGGTCAACAGTAACATGGCATTTTCCCCTTATTCCAAGGAACAATTCACACATTTGGTGGTGGCCAAATCTTTCCAAATAACTCCTCCACTCGTTTTGCTTGGTTTACATATCCATCTAGTCCGCCTCCCAGAAGCTCCACAGCAGCAGGTCCCATAGCTGATGCGAGGCTCAATTGATCCCACTTTGTCAGCTGATCATCAATGACACATCAATTAGCCCACATTCTCCCCTTCTAATTCACAATGTTTAACATCAACGCCTAATCAATCATACATACCATTGCAAAACAATTGCTATCATTTTCTCATCTAACAACTTAACCCCTTTCTTACATTTAATAGAGCATTGCACTTGATGAAAATTTTTAATTCACTTTTCATAAGTTTATAAATTGCATTTACAATACCATTTTTCTTCAAGTTCTCTCTCTTTTAGGTTAAAAATGACAAGAAAAAACACATTTTACAAGCTATAACAAGGAATAGATGATCCCCTTATAAGGAACATCACCAACTTCAGAACACTCCCATACTTTTGAACTGCTACCAAGGAAATGCCTAACTAGTGAATTTTGAAGATTTAGCTATAGACCAATAAAGGAATTTCGAAAACCTTAATTGAAAAATAGTCTGTTGGAACTTGGAAATAGAAGACTAACTAAAGGAATTTTGAAAACCTTGGTGGAAAAATAGTCTATTGGAAATTGGAAGTAGAAGACTATTATCTATTGGTCTGCTATTTAAGCAATAGAAACGAAAAGAGGTTAACCAATGAAAGACTTGGATATCTTGGTACATATTGCCTTCAAACTAGTGTGCATGTAGAAAACTAATGATAGCCAGTGTTAAAACAGGTTTCAGATTCTTTATATAGCACTATAAGAAAGTGATAATCACTACTCTATTTGTAAGTTCAATTGCAAAACTACTAAAGCCTAGGGAAAATATAAATTGCAACTTTGAGAAGAATGCAGACCTCTTCTTCACTAAAATTGTACTTGGCAGCAGACTCTGGGGTTAGCCTCCTAACAAAAGAATATTTCTCATCAGGAGAAGTGACGGATTCTTTGAGAGACTGCAGTACTTTCAATGGTGCAATGATATAGTCAACCCTGAACAAAAGGAGTGAGACACAAGATGAGCAGTAAAGATCATTCCTGAAGTCAAAATTACCAAAATAATCCAGTTAAATAGAATCAAAGGTGATTCATGTAATTACCCCAGAAGACTGAATAAATCCTGCTTGTTTCGAACTGCTGCTGCCATCAACTTTGATTTGTGTCCATATTTGTGTATATAATTATATGCTTTTGTCACCTGCAATGAAGGATAACATTACAATGGCTTCAAAAAATTGTCGGTTTCTAGTATTGTCAATATAACCAAGTAGCAACTTGGACAATTCAATACAAAAAGTCAAGCAAACTTTGCAAACTTCAGTCCTATGTTGAGATGCCTATTAATAGTTATTTTATATTTTATGTTTCAAAACTGTAACTGGTGAAATACATCTTTTATTTTTAATGTCATGAAACTGTAGCTGATGAAATACAAAGATATGCACACATGATATTTACTCCACACAACTGTGAGAGGAGGGGAAAGCATCCCTATTTTTCTAAAAGCCTTGCATTGCTAAAACTTGTAAGACTGAGCTAGAAAGATACATCTATGGTAATCTACCACTGAAGAGCTCAGGTATCAGCAATTTGGAAAATGACGAAAATCAGGCTGAAATGTAATGTTGACATGCTACCAACGAATTATTGCACCTTGATAGCAAAAAGGAAAGCACACTGCTCAACTTATGGAGAAGGCAATTGATAATGGGCTTTGGCAAACATAGTTCCACATTACTTGGGAAAAAGTACAGATCTAGATACAGCATAAATAATAAAATAAGATTTGTCTAAATGTTTGCAAGATGTGTAAACAATAAAGAAAAGGATAAGCTCTCTCAATTCTATAGAAATTCTTGTACAAATCAAACCAACCATAAACTAGACAAGAATTTCTTTAATATGAAAAAAATAAAAAAATAAAAGAAGGAAAAAAAGAAGAAGCATTTAATCCCTAAAAACCATGGAATTCAGATTTTAATATTGTCTTAAAAAAAGTATAAAATGGCTTAAGTATATAATTTCAGTAAACATATCATATCACTTAAATAAAAATCTTCTTGAACATTGTTAACAAATACAAATACAACAAAAGATATTATTCAACTAACCAATGCTAACCCAGGATCCTCCCCCCTATTAAGAGCAGCTTCTATCTCGGGGTCACCAGAATGATTGCGTGCCCAATCCTGAAAGAAAACAAATGAAATTCAATGGTGTCACCATTGAACAAACCAAATATTTGCTAAACCATGTTAACACTCTGAAGGAATATAGTTACCCTAAGGCGCCCAACAAAAATCTGAATAACAGAAGCACCAGCTTGTGCAGCAGCTGCAGCTTGAGCAAAGCTGAAGACACGGCCAAGCCAATAATTAAAAAGTAAAGTTGAATTAGTTAAGAAATAAGCACAAAGTATTATGAAAATCTAGAAGAAAAAATTGAGAGTGGAAGTAAAATGCCGCTCTGATATGATGAGCTAGATTAAGGACAAGCATAATGGCAAAGCTACTTACACAAGCTGGGGGTTTTAATTCCTTTTTCAGAAAAGATTCATATGTTAGTTTCTATCACATAGCTGTTTTATCCAAAGACGCGACTTATGCATCACAATCAAATGTTATTTGAACTAAAACATACCAAGAATGAACTTACATTTTGCATGGACTATTCAAGTAACTAGCTAGACGTTATTTATGTGAGACATTTGCAACATAAATAAATGCTACATTAACATTACACAGAAGAATATTATCTACTCAAAGCTTAAGATTAGGGTCCATTTGATTTTCACCATGATTTTGTATAATTTTGTTTGAATTGTCACCTTAACATTCAAAAAATCGTTGAATTATAATTGAAATTACTAATTAAGTATAAGCCTGCCTGCTTTTTTTTTATGTTGAAATTATTTCATACGAATCTTTATTATTGAATTCTATAGTTGCTTAGTTTTAAATTTAGTGTGTAATTTAGTTTAGATGTGATCAATTTCATTTTTGTTGAGATAGTGAAAAGTTTTTGCATTGAATTGAATTGAGAAGCCTATAATAAATGAACTTCATTTGTTTTTGTGCTGAAGTGAATTGACAATTTATAATGAAGGATACTGCTACAGGATATATTTGTGATTTGTGTTTAAGTATTTTTAAATTACCATATTTGAAGTAATAAGATTAAAATAGATATTTCACTAGTTTAATAAAGTTGATTGTTAACAAATGCTAACAATAAGGAGGTTTGGTTTACTTTTTGATAAACGTGGGTGAGCTTCATATTAATCTATCTCAGAAGAGGTAAATAAAATAAACTCTTAGTTTATTGTGATTTGTTGGATTGATGATAAACAAGATTAAACAGTGGATTTGGCAGTTGGGACTCCCTGCTCTTATAGGTAAAACTTGAAGGTTCAATTTCTTTTAATTGTGGCAGACTTTTTCTTTAGAGAAATAAGTTGGTTTGAGGACCTTATAGAATAAGACTCTCAAGTCATTTTGGTTTATATGTATTTAAGATAAACTATTATGTTAGAATTCATGATTAACTGGTATGTTAGAATTCATATCTTGACCTTTCACACATAGGAGAGTGATTGTTTGGTATTAGAGCACAGTGTAGGGTTTTGTAAACATTTAGTTAGAGCAATCAAGGGACCAAATCAACGCCAAACTATTAGGATCTCTTACACTTGGATTATCAAAATTTACATATGGTGTTTTATCTTGCTATTGGTGATTCATATTTGGATCATTTGAGAGTTGATAAAAGTATGTCACAAACTCATCCTACTATAAATGAGATAGGTGAAATTGAAGGAGAAATCAAACAATTGATGGTCGTAGAAGGGGAAATGCTGAATCCAAATGCATGCTAATGTTGCATTTGAGGCATTCCTACAAGCAATAACTATAATTGTTCAAAACCAACCCATGTAAGGGCAATGCCAGCTTGTCAAGCAATTCAGGAAACTCCAACTTTCATGCTTTGAGGGCTCCAAAATCCACTTGTTGAAGAATGGATCTATACGTTGGAGAAAACTTTTAGCACGGAGCTACTTATATGCTTAAAGGATGTGCTACCAATTTGTGAGATGACAAAAAGGTTCAAAATGTTAATGAGAATAGGGTCACATGAACCAGATGTAAAAAATTATTCAGTCAAGTATTTCCCACGGTCTCTGAGGGATGATAAGGAAATTGAATACATTCGTAAGACTCAAGGATCCATGTCCTTGATGGAGTATGAGAAGGGGCTCAAGGAACTACTAAGCTTTGTCTCATATTTGGCATATATTGCAGAACGCCAAGCTAGACATTTAGGAAGCCCTTAAGACTGAATTAAAAAAGCTAGTGTCAGCGCCAGAATTGAAGACCTATATGGCGTCCTGCAAAAGCCTCAACTAAGACTTAAAACTCGGAAGTTCAATTTCTTTTAATTGTGTAGCAGACTTTTCTTTGGAAAAATAAGTTGTACTGTGGATCTAGTTGAATAAGACCATGAGGTTTTTTTTTTTTTTTTTTTCTGGTTTTGATATATTTAAAATTAATTGTTATGTTATAAATCATATCTTAACTCTTCAAGGGTTGGGCAAGACAATCTAGACTAATTTTGTAAACTTGAACACATCATTCAACATTTAAATCATGTAAAAATGTTGCAAGTTAGCATTGTAGACAATTAAAATAGATGGAATCAAAAATGATACACTGAATTGATTTTCAAGATAAAGCTTTAAACGTACCTGTAAACAAAGGTCAAATGGGTCTGTATGCCCTCAGATTCCAGCAGTCTCGAGGCCTCTATTCCCTGGCCAAGAAACTCAATTAGTGACAAGCCAAAAAGGGATGAAAACAAAAATTGGTTTGCAAAATGGAATCACTAAAGAAAGAATTAATCCCCAACACAGATCTATTCCACTAAGATACTTACTTGCCAAGTTGTAGGAATTTTAAACAACAAACGCTCAAGAGGGATATCAATTTCATTGTACAACTTCAATAGGTCATGAACCTGCATATTTGATAAGCTACTGGTATCAAATTACATGACAAGACAATCCTAAAATTCTCGCAAGTCAAATTGCAATAGCTTTAGCTGAATGAACCAAATACATAACTTGAGATAGAAAGTACATGGAACGAAGAAGACCAAAATAAAGATTTAACGAAGCAAGAAACCTCTCTCTCTCTCTCTCTCTCTCTCTCTCTCACCCCACCCTCCACCCGTTCTCCAAAACATATAATCCATATATGTAAATAAGAAAAAGCACCCTCAATTTTTAGAATAATTTCACAAGAGAAAACAACGTCGATAAGCTAGTATAAGATTAATATTTAATAAACCTTAATACAAAAAAGCTCAATAAAACATATATAAACCATTACATAAGCAAGATAAAATATCACAATTATCTTCAAGAAATGGAACTATTACAACTATTACAAATTTAATCCTAAAATACAACCAATCCCTGGTTGAGACAGCAGCAACAAATATATTATTTGTAGGTGCTCAGACATAAAAAAAACTATTACAAATTTAATCTAAAATAAAACTCAATCAAATAGTTCATCATTGCTTTAGTGCAAGAGGAGTAAAAAAATGAACCTGAAAGGCAATCAAATACCTTCCTAATAATTCCATGTGTGTCATAAGCAAGTCGTGCATCGACCTCTGTTGAAACCCGACCAGGAACCAGTTTTGCCAAATCACCACCAACATTTACCAAAGCCTACACATCCATCTCCAAGCGTGAACCTTATCAATAGTCCAAAAAAAAAAAAAAAAAGGCACATGCATTTCCTAACAAGATATAGAAAAACCAACCTTGTTAAAGAAACAGTTCAGTCTCAACTCAGAGTTTTCAAGCTTACAACAACTAGAGTCCGCCAAAGCCATGTCCACAGCATTCTATACCCAAAATAAAATTCAATTTAACAGGGAAATTGAATGCGATTCCCTCTTTAAACCAAATTGCATAAGCTAAACATTATATACAGAGATGCTTACTCTAAATATGGTATCAGGAAGGCTACAAATTCCCAATAGGAGAGATGAGCTAACAGTAGCAGCAGTCGGAGGAAACCTAGACAATAAATTATTAGAAAACAATTATCAGCAACACAATTAAAAGATAAAAAGATTTCTGTTGATTTAAAATAAATAAATAAAGATAACTAAGAGAACAGATGGAGATAATGTAAGGAATTTTAATGAGAAACAGAGAGAAATTGAACACCTCTCGAAATCGTCGAAAATGACTGTGTCAGGAACGATTTCGCTGAAGCTAGACACAGCATCCAACTCGGTACTCAATCCTTTAAAACAAAAGAACAAGAATTGAAAAAAGAAACAAATTGAAGTAAACGAGAGAGAGAGAGAGAGAGAAATTGACCAGCATCAAGCGAAGAAGAAGAAGCGCGAATAAGAGGAAAAGATGTTCTCAAGTTGAAGAATACATTAGAAGAATCGGTTGAGAATAGCCTCACATTTCTTCCCTACAATCAATTGAATTGGATTAAAAAAGTTAAATAGAAATAATAATTACACAATAATAAATAAAAGGTAGAGTAGTACCTGGAGAGAAGAGGAAGAAGAAGAGAGAGCTGAAGAGGGCGGAGATCGCAAAGAAACTGCCATTCTTTTTTAGTGAGTGAGTGAAGTCAGAATGCGTGACTTGTCCTAACTCCTAACTTCTATTTATGGCTCGACTCCAGCACATGTGCCTTGCTGATTTCTTCCAGCGAAATACAACATTCCATATTATTTTATGAAATATTATCTTCTCGTAACTTTCTCCTTAATTGCAGCCATATAGAGATTCGGGGGCGGATTTAATGAATCACGCGTGGGATCCACTCAATTTTTTAAAAATTTAGGATTTTATATTTATTTAAATTATACCCTCATAAAACTTTGAAATTTTGAGAACCAAACGGCTCGGCCTCATGGTAAGTTAGGATTTTGTTTGTGTAAAACCCATTTTTAATCTTAATATATATATATATTACATATTTTTTATGATTTTTATTTTTATGCAAGGAGTCTGTTAGTTTTTAAAAGTTTTTTGGGAGTGAAAATGAAAAAAATAAAAATTGTTGGGTTTGCATGTAACTGAGAGGAGAAATCTAGACACTTTTACAATAGAAAGTTGATCAATTTAATCATTTTATTCTCCTCTATGGGTGATATGCTTGAGGCTATTGAAAAAGATAGTTTAAATCCTCAACACAGGCGAGAAGTATGTAATTTATTCTTTTAATTTTGCATTTAGTTGCATATAATGAAAAGTATATTAGCAATTAGTAATGAGTTGTCACACAAGCATTGTAGAGAAAATATTAAGACATTGTAAATGCTATAACTTTAATCAAAGTTTGCGAACAACAGTTACAATTGTGGAGAGACAAGGGATGGGAATCTTTGTTGAGTAAAGCTTTTTTCATTTTGCCAAAAGCTTAATATTACCATTTTGAATATGGATGATATGTTTGCAATTCGCAGGCGGCCACGATGGAGAGTTGAGCACATGACAAATTTGCATTACTATCGAATTGAATTGTTTTATACAGTGATAGATATGCAACTTTAAGAACTTAATACTCATTTCGCTACTTAATACTCATTTCACTGAGGTTAGTACTGAGTTGCTTCTTTGTATAACATGTTTAAATCCAAATAATTCATTCTCACTTTTGACAAGCATAAGTTTCCAATTTGCCCAGTTTTATCCATCTGATTTTTCTGCACTTGAGTTGATGATAATTGAAAACCAGGTTGAGACTTATATTATTGACATGTGTTCTTGTGATGAATTTGCTGAGTTACAAGGAATTAGTGATTTGGCTAAGAATTTAATTCAGTTTAAAAAAGACATTTTGTATTCGTTGGTGTATAAGAACATCTTCAATGATGCTCTTTATTTTAAAAAGCATCTTTCATATAAATAAAGAGCATCTTGTTTAATTTCTAAATATAAAGAACAAATTTTTTATTCAAATCCAATGGACTCTTTAAATTTAATGAAGATGTTCTTTATTTTCATTAGGAGAGAGAATTAATAAATAAAATGTATAAAAACATGTAGTTTTTTTAATTAAAACTAGAATAGAGAGTGAAATTTGACTTTCTAGATATGGAGAATCAAACTCACTCTTTAATTTATATTTAAAGGATAAAAAGTCAGTTGGACTCTTCTTATTTTTATAGATAGACTCTTTATAATAAAAAGTTTGAGTCATATAAGAGTTCTTTAGAGATGTTCTAAACTTATAAAACTTGCATTGATTTTACTAGCTGTAACTGTAACCGTTGAAATGACTTTTTCTACAATGAATATTGTGAAAAGTTTGTTACACAATAGATCAATTAATGAATGATTGCTTGATCACTTATTATTTTATGAAATATTATCTTCTCGTAATTTTCTCCTTAATTACAGTCATATAGAGATTTATATCCTATAATATTTAACATAAATTGAATATTAAAATAGACCTTTGTTATATTATTTTTGTTATTATTTAACATGGCACGATTAAAACAATCTTCCACTTAAATATCGCCATTGGCCTCTGGACAAATGGAGATAATATCTAAAGAAATATTGGTGCAATTTGTCTGATACGAACAGCACCCCCACCCCTCGGATACTCCGTCTCCCATTTTATTATATGTCAACCAAACATGAAAAACTAAACAATTTTTAATTTATTTAGAAAGTAGAAAAGCACTAGAATAATGAATTAATTAATTATGATAAGAGAAATTATCCAACTACACCATCAACTCTTATCATACTAGGGATGAGCACGAGCCGAGGACCCCTCTCTCTGACCCCGACCCGAAAGCTCAAGGGGATTCCCCAATCCCAATACGTAGTCCGAATGGAGAATTCGGGGAATCCCCGAATTAGGCCCAATCACCAAACAAGAGAATTCGGAGAATCCTCGAAATCCCCATTTGAGGTTTTGCATTATAATTTTTTTAAAATTTTTAATGATTAAAAAAAATTATAATGAATCAAAATATCAAAATTATAATTATGATAAATTATACAAATATGTAAATATATTATATATTAATGGTATAATATTATGTATTATTGTATTGAGTAACAAGTATTAATATATAAATATATGATATTATGATTACGGATAATAGCATATTATGTATAATTTATAATATATTATAATAAATTTTAAATAAATTATACATATATATTACAATGTCTTATTAATATTCTAAATAATACATAATGTATTATTACATATGATACATTATACATATATATTATACATATGATACATTATACATATATATTATAATAAATTCTAAATAATTAATAATTATCATAATATAACAAGAGCAATTAGGTAATGGAATTGAAATAATGATTCAACGAGGAACAAAAAAAATTTATAATGGTTTATTGATTTATTATAATCAATCAAAATATCAAATGATACATTATACATAAATAACATATGTATTATATATATAAAATGATACATTATACATATATAACATATTTATTATGTATTACAAATATTTATAATGATTTATTATATTTAATTTAGTTTTATTTATTACCTATTTGTATATGGTTTCATAAAATATTCACTCAATTATAATTTGTTTTTATATAATTTATGACTTCATTGATTGATTTTCAACTATTAAAATTAATATAAGATTAAAATGGTTAAAATTAAACCCCTCTCTCTCTCTCTCTCTCTCTCGCCCAACCCAAATCCCGAATAATTCAGAAAAACTCTGTCCCGTTCGGGATGGGTCCCCGCGGGGATGGGTATTATGTCCATCCCGATATCATACTTTAACAAAAAATTGTTAACATCGGAATCCCAAATAATTCAAGGAAACTCCGTCCCGTTCGGGATGGGTATTATGTCCATTCCGATATCATACTTTAACAAAAATATTGTTAACATCGGAAATTGGATCCCAAGGTCAACTAAAAACACTATTCTGATTTAGATTTTCTTTTTCTCTCTTCTTCTGGACCAATTCCAACTTCTCCTGATAAGATGAAAAACACAACATCAATAGCTCAACCGACGTTGGAGGTCGGTGGCGTTAGCTCATTGACACTCAAGTTACTCAAGTATTATCAATGGTAGCTCGTTGGTGAGCTTTGAGAACAGTGAGACCAAGAAGAGACCTTCTTCCTTGAACCAATGCCCTCGTTCAAAGTATTTTCTCTAAGTGAGTGCCATAGAATTTAAGAACTTATCTCCGGGGGTGTCTTTTCCTTTATATATTATTGGGGTTTCCTCTGGTTAGTGCCATTTGTCCAATTGAGTTTAGGCCACGTGTCCTTTCACAACTGTTTTAAGGGGTAAGCAAACTTTCTTTTTGATGGATTGTACAAACCATTCTCTTTACAATGCATTTGGTTCAAGAAATATTATTGGGAATGTTATATTAATGGGAAAATAAATTTTCTTAAAGATTACTAGAAATGTATTTAATTATATTTGAATAAATTGGTGGATATGTTATATAGATTATTGAATTATCCTTCTTTTTTAATATTATTATTCAAATTATTTCTTTTAACCCTTTACACTTAAAATTTTGCTAAAACACTCTCGTCACAATAAAAGTTTAAATTTAAACAAAATCATCCCACCCACCCAAGTCAATGCCGACCGTTGACCACCACTATCGGTCGCGGCCAGCGGTGACCTAAACGACGCACAATTAATCGGATCTGGCCACTATGCGTCGATCTAGCCATTAACGAAGGCCAGATCTACTTGGTCGTTCTCAAGTGGCAACGGTGGCCGACGTCAGAAGGTGGCTAAGGTGTTCTGGGTAAATTGTTTTCAAAACAAGGGTAATAATGTCCAAAAATTTTATTTGTTAGGGGGTAAAATCGTAACAAAATTAAGATTACCAAGTAATCTTAGAATACATAAAAAAATGGTAGTATTCAGATTACCATCTATATAACCAACACTAATTACAATTGGTTTTAGAAGATTACCGGAATATTTTATTACTTGAAAATTAAACATGGTAATGTCAGTAATATAAAATGACATTACTAGAGTAATCTCCATAACCCCCAACCAAACGCACCGGGTGCGTTTGGTTTAGAGAATATTATGTTAATGGAAAGATAGATTACCTTGAAGATTACTGTGAATGTTTAGTGAAATATGTTTGGTTAAGTTGAAATAAATTAGTGAGTATGTTATATTGATATGTTTGGTTAAGAGGTAAATGGGTGCGTATGTTATATAAATTATTAAATTGTTCTCTTTTTAAAATATTACTATTATTTTTTTAATCATTTTTTTAAACCCCTATATTTAAAATTTTGCTAAAACACCCCACCCATAAAATACTTCAATTTGTAGCAAAATCATCTCCACCCATTCCAAACCATTGCCAATAGCTAGTCACCACCGCCGATAGTCGCCGAAATGGTGTATGACTGGTTGAATCTGACAAGTCGTGTGCCGATAAGGTCGTTTTACGGCCACACATCTGGTCGTGATATAGCTATTTTTGGCCAGATCGAAAGTTGGAAATAGCCGGATCGCCGTGAATTTGGCCGAAAACGGCCAGATCTATTTTGGCCATTTTCGACCAGATACACAGTGGTCATGGATGGTTGAGGTTATTTTATTAACTTTTAAACTTTTTTGTGATTGGAGTGTTTTAACTAAATTCTCAAATGTAAGAGATCTAGGCTAATGGTTATTTGATAGACATTTGAAGGCAATTGTGTCTGAAATGATATTAAATTAAGGTTAAAATAGGTATAAAAATCAGATTACCTCGATAATTTTTTTAATAACATCCTCTGACAAGGTAATCTGATTACTCCTTATATTATCAAAATAAATACTATTTATAACAAAAGATTACCGTAATATTTTATTAATTACAAAAAAAAAAAAAAAAAAAAGAATTTTGAAAATCAAATGAAGATTACTGAAGTAATCTTATATAACCTCAAACCAAACACATCAATAGAGTAATCTTGATCGACATCAAAATTTAGATCGTAGACCGTGCATGTGGCCTTATCTCATATATCTCGCATTATGGATAGACCTTTTACCCGCCGTGCCTCAAATCGGGGCGAGATTCCCCAAAAATATCGAGGATGGGATTGGGGACGAGATGGAGGTCTCCCTGCCGCGCCACTTTAAATATATATAATAGTATTCCCCATATATCAATTTGTGCATGTGGCAGGCTTTTATTGGGAGATGTCATGTTATTACTTTAGAACTTCCCACACAAGATTTCTAATATATAAACAACACCAGCAGGCTTCTTTGTCTTTCAACCCTAGATCCTCTGTTTCTTTTGTCTCTCCTTAAAAAAAGTCTCTCAACTTTGAACCTCCACCGTGGTGGCGATCACTCTCTCACAACAATATATATATAAAATTAAAGGTATATAATGAATCATATATAAACATCACAGGTGAGATTGCATCTAATTGGCAATTATACAAAAACTTATTAAAGCTGGGAAAAAAAAGCTTTACTAGTAATAGGGGAAAAATTACTCAGCAATAATCAATTAAAAACATGAAATAATTGAAAGAGCTTTGGCTTAGATTGCAATAAATTAACCGCTCCAACGTGGTTGGATTATTAAGAAATAAAAAAAAAAAAAAATTATAACTAGTTGTCAAGATTACTTCTGCTCCTCATCATCTTCATCCAACTTCTTCCATCTCACCAAACATGACAGAAATTCCTGGACCTGTATATTAATAATGCATTCTAAGGATTTATTTATAACAACAAATTAAATAAAATAAAGCTGGAGGAGCAGAATTTCCACCTCTGAAGGGTCCCTAAGAGAGTAAAATGCTTTGCTTTCTTTGGGGACAGAAGATACCAGGATTCCATAACCTTGATTTCTCTCTCTCAACACCTAACAATATAAAATCAAAATTTTAATGTTAATGTTGATCAATCTTTTAAAAACAGATCCAGTACCCAATTGTTGAAATTACAGTGTTAAACCTTAAATGCATCTTCATCAGTCCTGTCATCCCCAACATAGATTGGGAGCACATCATCACTATTACTTAGTCCTGCACCAATAAAAAATATACAAAAGTTGACCCAACAAGTTTTGATGACCATAATTCTGCAAAGTCTAAAGAGGAGATGCATATACCAAGAGATTCAAGCAGAAATTCAACTGCTTTTCCTTTATTCCAGTCAATCACAGGACGCACCTCTAAAACCTAAAATAAAATGAAAATATGTCAGGGAAATATAAATTTGAAGAATAAAAACATTAGGCTTCCAAATCAAATACCTTCCGCCCATGAGTTAATCGCAAACGAGGATAGTCTTTAAGAATATCGTGGACACATTGTGCAATTGTAGGCCAATTCTGAAGTCAAAGAAGCAGAAAATATCTTATACCCAGTTATTTGATGAAATGCTAATTATGCTTCAGAAACATAGTAATTTTTACCTTCTCATCTACATTACGGTAATGTATAGCTGCACAAAACTTGTGATTCTCAACTTTTGCGCCTTGGATTTTTTTAGTGTTCTCAACAAGGGTTCTAAAAACCTGCACAAGCAGTATTTAGAATCATTTTTTTTTTCCCTAGATAACAAAAATACCTAATATTAGACAGAACAAAACAATTATGTACCTCATTGATCATAGGTATAAATTCTATAGCTGGTTGGAACAGATTTACTTCCTTACCCTATTACACATCCAAAGGAAATTGGGATCAACATAAAAACTTATTGTTGGATAAAATTTTCAACAGTGAAGCAAAATAATTGTAAGAATGAAATCTAGAGAAATCGAATTTATTTAAGAGCATTCTGGAGTTGATAAAAGGGTAGTCGGAATGGTGTAATAGTATGTCTTACCAGTTGGTCAGTTGATTTAATACAGTTAGGATGGTCATCAGACACAATGTTGTTGACAGGGCCCATAATGTCCATCCCGTGACTACCAGCATAAAAGAGTTCTGTTAGTCCTACCAATTCATAAACCTGATAAAAAATGGCATTCAATCAGATCCTAAAAGGAACCATATGACAATTATATACAAAAATAGATAAGCCTAATAAAACAAATTTCTACCTTATCCCGGCTTCTTCCACTGATAATTGCTGTTGGGAAATACTTTGCAATATTTCTTACAGCAAAGCGCATCTACAAAACAATGTCTAACTTCAATAGAAGCTCAAGCCAGAAAACGATTTCTTTTTAAGAAAAATGTTTTACATACAGCAAATTAAGTGCATATATTCTTACACCATCGGACATAATTGCACGATCTGGGTCATCGACTATTGGCGAAAGAGTCCCATCGTAATCTAAAAACATTGCAATTTTTTTGTTCTTTGCAAAATTTGTAATCTGCTTAAAATAGTCAAGGGCCGATGGATACTTAAGCTGCAAAAATAGAAAGCAGAGAGAATTGGGGAAAAGATAAGTACTAACAACTCAATGTCCAAAAGTGTTAAGTTAAAATATGGTGTGTATGGATTATTATTATCAACAACAATGATGTTTGTTTACCATCCAGGAACGGTAAGCAGTCTCAGAATCATCCGGAGCAACCTCAGAATTGAAATCCTTAATTAGCTTCTTGCGAGGAGGTGATGATGATTTCATGGCGTCGAGCCACCCATTGGACCTAACATCATCAAGTTTTCCAGGCTTTTTTCTTGGAACTGTGACATACTTGCCAGAAAATGATGGTCCTGCCGAGGAGTAAGGCAACAAACTAGAATGTATCCCCAGTTTCGACTTGTTTAACGGTGAAGGATCGGTGAGAACAGGAGAAGCATGATTTGACTTCAACTCCATTTTATCCAGATTACTCAAAATGTATAAACTAAATGTTTGATATTAACAGCAACTTGGTCAAACAGAGATATGCCCCTGAATTTTATTTTATTTTTATTTTTTTCACCCAACTCTTTTGTCTATGAAAAACCACCTCTTCAACGTTTTCTTGTCACTGCTGGTCGGTGAGCAGTCCATCAAGCGCAGGCTTCCTGAAAACTAAAGATGAAACATTGCATAAATTTTAATCCTCATCCTCATAAGGATTTCAATCAAAACAGAACCCATTTTCATTTAAATCTCCATACCTTTTCATCTCCAAAGCTACACCGCATTTATAGCAACTGACTGAACATATTTATGCAAGAATCCTTGAGAAAGTGAAGTCCGACCAAAATTCACCTAACTTCAGCCTGAACTATAAAATATTATTGTAAGATTCCAATTATTTTTAATACATACAATTCAATTAAGATCTGTTCAGCAGTACAACTCAATGAAACTAAGCAACAAGTTCACAATGCAAGTCTTTAATACTCATGTGAAAATGTTCACCAATCCTTTTAAGACTAAGAAGCTAACTTGGCAACCATGGCACACTGAAAAAGAAAAATGGAATCAACAATGTACACATAAACTTGATTATGAATATACTAAGTTTAATATAATTTACAACATATGAAAAGAAATGTAGACCACGAAATTTGAGATCCAGGAAGAAAATTATAAATAACAAAAGTCCATCATCTCCATTTATCCTTCAACCTTACCTACCACGCCATCTGTCACTCGTAATTATAATTATGGTCTTGGATGCATCAGAGTAGACAAATAAAACGTCAGATCACCCGTTTGGCTCATATTTAAATATTATATATATATGTGTGTGTGTGTGTGTGTGTGTGTGTAGACCATAGATTTAACAAAGACGGTAATTTCATTCTGTAGATCTAATGCATCGCTTTCAAATTAAAAAAAAAAAAAAAAAGAAAGCCAAAGCTTAATTTATGTCGCAATGAAAAGACAATCCAACTACCAAAACGGCCATAGACTCTTACCCCCAGGTCCCCCACCATGAAAACAAATAATAAAAATACTTTCTGAAAACTATATATACATATAAATTGCATAATCAATCATCAGCAAAAGTCAATACTGATGAAGGTTCTGGGCTTGATGAGAAGCCATAATTATTGAGGAAAATTACATGGGAAAGTGCATGAGCATTTCTTTTTCAAAAGAAAGTGATTAGGAAACCTTGTTTTCGATATTTCAACATCTTTTACTTGTTCACAGCAACTGACGAAACAGAAACTTTTAACAAATAAAGAAAAATGAACAACAAATGCGCCGTCAAAATCATATCTTTTTAAATATTCATATTGGATCCTCCACGGTTAAAAAAACAAATCAAAAAATCAATTTCCCAAAAACTATAGGAGATATCTTTAACTATTACTAAAATGGACCCACAACCAAAATCAATAATAAAAACAAATAAAATAAGAAAACTTCATATGAAATCCATTATTTAAAAACAGTAATAATAATAATAATAATTTTTTGCCATTTCATATCGTGAAAATCAACAATTCTTTGTCTTTAATCCTTTCCAAAACATGGCGACTTTGTTGCATGCCTCGCCGTAAAAACGTAAAAGGTGAACAAATGATTTTTCCAAAACCGAAGAATCAAAGATCTCAGGGAAGCAATAAATAAATAAAAAGCAAATAAGGATCGTAAAAGCATTGTAAGGGTTAAAGAGAGGAGAATTTCAGATTCAATATGAATACGTACCGGCAGATTCAGAAATGAGAGGAATGCAAAAGCTCCTTTCTCTCACCAACCAAAAACAAAAGTGTTGAAACCAAAGAGACCAATGAATAAATAAAAAGAAAAGGGTAGTGAGGTATATGAAAGAAAAAGGATGACCTCAAATGAAAGTTGAGAAACCCTAACGACGGAAAGAAGAGAAAAAGAAGGAAGACAATGAATGTGATTTATAGAGTTTGATGCTAGACGTGCTTAACAATCCAACACCTTCGCAAATTTTCACCAAATCTCTATTTTCTCTTTTATTATTATTATTATTTAATTAAATACTTTACTATATACGGGTTTCACTTTCAACTGTTGTATGTAAACCGACACGTGTAGGTGAAACATGTAAATGTTTTATACCATGACACCTGTGAGCGTATCTAAGTGACGTGGCCACGTGTCACTTCAGATGTCCATGCTTCACAGACGGGTTTTCTATCTGTATCTCATTTAGTACCACTTAGCGGCCGTCGGTGACGGAAATATTTACCTTTTTTTTATTAATAGATAAAAAAAAAACAATTCAGGTGTTGAGAGATAAAAGACTCTGGAGGTGTCACGTGCAAAATTTTACAAAGTATATGAAAGGAAAATGGTTTTGCATTTTTACGGCCGAAGTTGCACTAATCTCGTGAGGGATGTCACGTGGCCCGCGATCTGAGCTGGCAAATGGGGTTTGGGGTTGATAACAAACAAGTGGTGGAGCCCAAAAAAAGTTGGATCACAATGGAAGGTTCTATTCAGGCAGTAAAATTGTCTACTTGGCTTTGTTATTTTTACCAGCGGTTGGGGTTTGACTTTATGGTATCGTAAATGGTAATTTTATTTTTTTAACATTTTAATTTTACAAGTACATAAAGAGCTTGAGCTTGTTCAATTGAAAAGAAGGGTGGTTGAGGTTAAGGTGCATATGACTTTTATCATGGGTGAATTCTGGAATGGACTAACTAAAAATAGTGTTTATTGTTTTATTTAAATTAACCAAATTAGACGTCACATGGTGATATTAATTATAAGTTACTAATCATAGATGATTGGCCATTAAAACTTCGAGGTAATGCTTGAATTCTAACGACATTTGACTTTGACAAACTTACATATTATTCACTCACGCTTTCCCATTAGTTTCATTTCTTCAATTTCCCAACATCTTATTATTACTGGTTAATTTTCATAAATTTTGACTATGTTTTTTAAAGGATTCATTTGGTCATAGGTCGGATCCGAGAGTCTTTAATGACATCTTATGCTACTATGGATTATAGGTTTACACGGGTTTACTTTTACTCCCTAAGAATAAAGGTATTCACTTGTATCTAGGGTTATTCTTAACCATATACTTCAAATTGGATTGAATTATTATCAAGATATTGTCTATTTTAGACCCAAATATGCATAAGTTTGTTTTTAAAGTTCACGCAAGTGTCCTTGACCTAAAACACGTTTTAACAACTTAGAAACTCACGTGATATTTTACTAATTTTCGTTTTTTCTTCTTTCAAGCAATGCGGAACGTCACACCTTAACTCATAAAAATCAATATATATATGGAATGAAATTAAAATATTAGGTAAAAGTGAAATTGAAAATAGAAATAGGAGGTGAGGGTAAGGGTAAGGTTGAGAAACTTCAAACTGTGACTTCATGATGTGACTATTCCATAGATTAGACAATTTAAAAACAATAGTGTTAATTTGTTTACATAAGTCTGCTTTAGCATACGACGGTAGCTTTGCTTAATCAAATCTCATTTAATTTAGCATGTGTTTAGTGTGACTGACTTTTGAGACATATTAATTAAACGTAAGAACTTAAGTATTTTCTTTAATTATCAATGATGAAATAGAAAATAATTTAACTCTTTAGTTACAGGTTTATGAATTTTTGTTTTATTCTTTAAACATTCACGCACTCTTAATACTCTACTTTAAACCATTTATACCAAAATGAGGTTGAAGCACAAAGATCAGAAAGGATATATTAACTAAAAATATAGTTAATACAAAATAATAATTTTTTTTTAATACGAAATTCAGTTAATAAACCTACAGACATTACAAATCTTATATTAAAATTATTTTTATAATCTTAATTGCTAGTAGTAATAAATAACAAATAAAAAACTATAAAATTATGTACATAGATTTTGTTTGGGCAACAAGCAGTAAACATACTCTATAGATTCTAAATCAAGTAACAAATCTTTTGTCTTCTGTTTTAACATTAAAATTTAGTTTTCCTGCTTTAATTCTACTAAACCAGGCTATGTATTATTAACATTTGCTTTCTTAATTTATTCTTTCATGAAACACGACCCGCATTAACAATTCTATAATATCTGTTAATATATTCGATTATCACTTTCAAGTTATAATAATTTATAAATTATTTTTATGTCACATTTGGATCATAATTTTAATTATATATATAAAACAATTAAACAACTTTTGAGATAGTTATAAGATATTTTGATGATCGATGAATAATAAAACCAAAAACATATATAGTAAAAAAAGAAGAAAAGGAAACAACTGCAAACAAAGACCAGTACGGTAGATATAGCCACCTCGGATACACGAGGTATAACTTTGTCCACATACGGGAGCACACGGTTGGCCTGCCACCTCCAATCATTAATGTTAAAACAGCTGACGTGGACACATACCTTTCTAGATGGCGACTAACTACGTTCCATTTTAAGTGTAGGTCCCATAAAGTTGGTGGATGAGGTGGCGGTGATGTCATGATGAAACGTTAAACTAGAGACTGAGTCAGTGCTGAGTAGACAGAAAATGGGTGGCCCTTTATGTGCATTAAAAGTCGTTTTGAAGAAGAAAGTAAAATTAATGGAGAAGAAAGAAGCAATAGATGTTTCCATTACGAATCTTTTTTAAAGACTCGGACTTGCAGTCATTTCTATTCAATTTGAATGATTGGGGCTTTGTTTTAGGACATGCACCAATTGATTAGATTACTTTCAAAGAAATATAAAGGACAAGAGCTTCTCGTTTTAGTCATTTAATTATTGAGCAATAATTTTATAAATGTTGAATATGAAAGATGATAAGAAATGGTTGCTGAAAAGGTGGCCTGATTATCAGACTAAAGCATTAAGTATTTGCCATTACTAAACGCTAATTAGATTTAGAATGTGGGCTTTTCATATTATAAATTAGAATTGACAGGTTGGGGTAGGGTGCTAATGACAAAAAATATGAATTATTTGAACATATAGTTGTCGGCCACTTTGTGATTTGTCATCTGTTCATGTGTTAATCGATTTGTATAGAAGAGGTCAATTCCAATAGGGTTTCACGTGGGAGTTGAAACATATATATATATATATGCATGGGGCATCCACCTTGCTATTAGTTTTTATGATTTTAATAAAATTATGATAGAAATATTTTTGTTATACCAATGTTGTCATATTTATAAAATGAAAGAAAACCAGCAACGCCTTACAAAAAGTCATACAAAAAAACAATCTTTATCCTTAAAATTTATGATTGTCTCTTTCTTTCTCTCTTTTTCCCTTCTTTTAAGAGCAGAGATTATCTCTTTGTATGACTCTTTGTAAAGCTAGTGTTACTTATCAATTAATAATAGTACATGTGTTTGTTTTGTATATTAATTATGCGTAATTTTCTTTAATTCAGGCACGGTATAAAATACAAAAGATCGATGAAGATAGGCTTTGAACTTCAATAGTGTGAAGGAACAGAGAGATGAATTGGCAAGAAGGTTCAAGGGATAAGATATATTATTAATGGCAACAATGAGTAAATCTGCAATTGCAATTGCAAGTTGGTGAACATTACTCATATAATGCAGCTAGGTCGATCGCCCAGGCCATGTGTAGCCTCCCAACTTGTACTAAAAATACATACACTTGTAGATATGTTAAACTTTGCTTAAATGGATAAGGAAAACTTGACTGACTGGTGGAATTAATCTAATATAATTAACCTTATCCACATCCAACTCTAACAATTCTAAACTATTACAAATTGTTATGTTAGCAACACAACAGTCTGGTTTAGCTAGTGATTATGTGGTGAGTGCGATTGTAATTCCATGAGCAAAAATATCTTAACAGACAAATACTGTATGGTTTTTGCAGATAACGTATCAATTATGCCAATGGCATTGGCATTGGCACCACCACCTTCAATTCACTACTTTAATGCTCAATACATAAATAATTTTAGCATCATTTTGAGTGGCCAGTTGGGCTCAATTCCTATTTTTCATTTGTCATGGTCCGTGCTTAAGATTGTTTGATTTTTAGGCCTATTCGACGTTTGATTCAGGATAGCTTCTCCCATAATCATTCATGTCGTAATCTAAAACCCAACAAGTATTTAACAAATTAATTTGAAAAATGATTAATGAACAATCTGATTATGAAATAATTTATTTTATAAAAAGATTCTAAAAGTAGCTATTTGTAACTTTTAGAATTCCAAAGTTGCTTTTAAAAGGGTAATTTTCAAAAACAATCTAAGGTTAACATGAATTCTATCTTTTTTTATAAATTATTTTTTAAATAAATAAATAATATAATAAAAAATAAAAAGCTTTAGAATTGGCCAATGGAGTTGTGGCTCGACGTCAGCCACGGACAATGGCCAGATGCGCCTTTGATGATAGGGTCTGGCCACCTTTGTCAATTTGCCAGCTAGAGACACTCCGGCCATTTCTATAATCTTATTACCTTTTTTTTGTTTTAAGTAATTTATTAATTGAAAAAACTTATTTGAAAAAGAAACCTAATTTAGTCATTTTACATTTGCCACCTATTATTTTTCAGAAGTAAAAGCAATTTAAAAGTTTAGCAAAACAAACAACTTTTTTTTTTTTTTATCAAAAGTTGATTATCTGTAAAATTGTACTAAAAATGATTAAGTTATAAGAATTCAAAATTAACCCTAAAAATGTTAAAAAGGGAAATGATTTTTTTGACGTATTTACTAACGGGGTCGACTGAGATAGGAGGTAGGAGTTCAATACTATTTCTTTTTTACCCCAAGCCGCCAACCTCTTGTTTTATTGGCCGGTTTGAATATATATTTTCATTTTTGACAATTTTATCCTTCAATGAATCAATATACATAAAACAATACAAAAGACAAGATTATACGCACAATTTTCTCTAAACACCCCATTTTAATTAAACAAAAGTTATGTTAGTAAATTATCTAAAAAGCATTTTTACACGAAGAATAAGAAAATTTTTTCTAAGTTAAAATTGAATGTTAGAATTCTGGAAAATAACGCAGAACATATTCATATCCAATAAACTATTTATTGTCTGGCTAAATAGAGTAAACGACATGTTCCCACCCAAGGGTTGACGAAATGACAAGTTTTCACCCTTGGCTTCATAAATTTCATATTCTCACCCTTAAATTAACATAAAATCATTTAATAAAACGGTCATAAGGTAAATTGGCCATTTCCATCGCAACAAACCTGAAATAAAAATAAAAATTTCAAAATAACCTTTCACGTCTCAACTCTCAAAATTGACAAAGTGCGGCCTTCGCTATCACCGTCGGCAACCGTTTAGAGCTGATTTCGGTCGATTTTCTCACCAAAATTGATAGAAATCATCACCTTATCTTTTCCCAAGTGTTTTTCAGCCTTAATAGCCCTCAATTTGACCAATTTTTGCCGATTCTCGCAACCCAGCTCCATCGCATGTGACAACCATTTCCGACCTATACCCGGCATCGTTGGTCTTCCCTAAAACCACCATCTTCCTCCCCTCAGCCCTTATACCAAAACCCCTATGACACCTTATCGTTTACTTTATCAATCGCCGGCCACCGCCACCTTTTGGTCTGCGATTTCTCAAGCTTTTTCTAGTCAATCCTTATTGGAAATAACCCCCATCACCACCCATTGCTTCTTCGGCATCTGATCTCCAAAACCCCCCACCAACCTGACCCTGTTAACTTGTCGATCGCTGTCTACCTCTCCTTAGCATTTCGTTTCTTTTTTTTTTTTTTTAAATAAAAATTGAAGAAAATGGTGTTATTGAAAAATATTTGAAAGTAAAATGACTTTTTTCTAATTCTATTAATTTTGGAGTTAAAAAGTAACTTATTAGTTTATTTGTTAAGGACAGTATGATAATAGCACTTTATATACTGTGTTAGAACCAAAAATCTCTAAGGGGGTTAATTTAAGCTGAGAATTTGTAATTTATGAAACCATGGGTGGGAACTTAGATTCGCCAAGCCTTGGGTGGGTAGATGTCATTTACTTGGCTATATAAGATAAGCTATAACCCAAATTAAAGGAGTACTCGACTTTTTTCCACCCAAATAATGGCTTAATAACATTTTCCCACCTACAAACTTTTAAAACACTACTTTACTACCCAAATTTATATTTTATTTCTGATTCCGATATCGTTGCAACCCTACACCACCATCATTCTCTTTCTTGATTATCATTTACTAGAATCTCTCAAACCTTACTCCTGCCAACCCTGTCAATCACCAACAATTAAACAACTAGGGTTTGTGTAGCCGTCCCTCCCAAGTCAAATTCTGAATAATCTCAACTACAAAAATCCAAACTTTCACTACCAAAAGACTAATCCACTTTCCTTTTTCAAAAGCCTCAACAACTTGAACCGAGTTTGTTCTATGTTCGCTGCTAGAATATAAATTTGGATAGTAAAGTAGTATTTTAAAATATGTAGGTGAAAAAATGTCATTAAGCTATTATTTGAGTGGAAAAAAAATCTTTAACTTAAATTAAAGTGAACAAAATAAAATAAACAGAAAGACTACACTTACAAAAGGGTTTACAAATGAGTAATATTACACATACATCATTTCTCATACAACATTATGTGGCAAGATATGATTGACTAATTTAAAGTTAAAATTAAACTTTCATCCAATCATATCTTGCCACATAATATTGTATGAGAAATGTTGTATGAGAATGATGTATGTGTAGTATTATTCTTTACAAATAGCCCCATACAAAGTTACCCGTCAGATGATGTGCCACATCATCGCTTGCCAACTTCGCCTTTTGTAAAATATTTAATAATTAATTAATTAATTATATTAATTAAAATATTTTAATTAACCCAAATATATATATTTAAAAAAAAAAAGATTCTAAAATACTTCTCAACAGCACTAAATCAGAAATCCCCAATTCCTTTTCAAATAACAAACTGTAACCACCACCGCCAATCTCAACCGCACCACTGCTGCCTATCCTCTTCCACCACCACTCACAACGACACCGCCGCCCTCAACCACCGTTTATCCTCTTCCTCTTCCAACATCACTATCAGCCGAAATCCCCAATTTCCTCTCAACCGCACAGTTGCTTCTAGCCGGTGATTCATCGGGCATTTTCAATTTAATTAAATTGAAGCGAATTTCAATCTTTAAAAGAGATGATAACCTTTTATAAATTAGATAATTTTATAGTCAATTTTAGGTGTAAGCACTTCACCTCACTGAAGAGATTTTGTATTAGGTGGCTGCTTCATGTCCAATGTAGAAGCATTCAACAAAGAATGGGGAATGTCCTTAAAATCAGAAAGATATGTATCAAACATTGTTCGATCGCCTTTTAAGTTTTTTCCAAAAATGGAACCACCAACCATTATTGGCCATTTCAATTTGCTTAGTTTTAAGAGACGAAAAGCCCAATATTAAGCTACTAAAGTGAAACTAGTTAAACGATTCAACTCAATACATGTGCGAATCTACATTATTCGCAACAGTGTTGTCACTCCCAATTAACCAGTTCCCCAAGACAACTGAATTAAAGGCTTTTATACCAATAACACCAGATTCATCAAAATTATACCCTAAACCATAACAGCTGATGATCAACAATTTACAAATCAACCCAGAATAATGGGAAGACTTAACCTGTATCCAAGAACACAGAATAAATACACGTACACTCATTCTTCACAGATGCGAATTTTTGCAGCGTTTGAATTCACCAAGCACTTCCTCCTCCCTAAGCCCAACAAGAAATTGGGCTAAACCTTCAAGAAACAAAGCTGCCTGATACAAACTCAACCCACTCACTATCTCCGTAATCACACTCTTTCTCAACCTATTCGCATCCATAAACACACTCACCATCTCTTCCATCGCTTCCTTCATTGCCTCTTCAATCCTTTCTCTTTTCCCTTCACAATCCGCCCCCCAATCCTCTGCTATCCTTCCCACAAAACCACCCTGTACCTTCTTAATTCTGCTCATCAATGCAGGCACCATTAGTCTTAATCCACATTCTATTTGATCGATGTGATTCATCAAGTGTTTGGATACATTCTTCCACGCCATCATCACTTGCCACGGTCTATCAAGACCAGCAACAACACCATCGCAAGAGTCATTTTCTTCTCCTTCCTCAGTTTCTTGATCAAGAAAGGATCTTAAAAGGTTGGTGAAGAGATAGGGGTGGAGATCACCGAGAAGGAGAAATGGTATTTCAAGAGAGTTGCGCCAAGAAGGGAAGAGAAGTTGAGGGAGGTTTTCTTGGGAGGCAGCGAGATCCAAGGTGTCATAGTAGGCGAGGAAGTGATGAAGGAGGATATCAATGCGTGAGTGGAGAAGAGTTGGTGAAGAAGATGAAGAAAGGGAGAGTTGAATGAGAGGGAGGTGGGTTTTCTTGAGAGTTTTAAACCATTTTGTGTAGTAATCTTGGAAGGAAAGTGTTTGTGGTTTTTTCCGAAAGAGAGAAGAAAAAGGCTTAGGCTTTGGCATCCTTTTTTGGTGAAGAAGATTTTATTTGATCTGCATTTGGTGTGACTGGATGTTTTCTGTTCTGTGCTTTATAGCTGAGCAGAGGTATATATGGAGGGAGGGAACATTTGCCAATCGGGCATAATATGGGCTTTCTAAGCGAAGTATGGACTTATGGTGGGCCTTGGCACTTAACAGAGATAAACGCGCCCACATGTGACGTGAAACTGCAGCAGTAAAAGTAACAAAGATAAAAAGGCGCCAAAAAGGGTAAAGCATTAGCACAGTGCAGCGCATATTAAGGAAGACAATATTTCGAAACGGTGCCGCATTAGGTAGTACTACTCACTCACCGACACCCCACTCCATGGATATTTATATCTGCATACAGTTAATTTTACCCTCTCTCTCAACACCACGCTTAAAATCCTCCGTACTTTGTTAAAACAAAAACACCAAAACCCACTCTCTCACTCACTTTCCTTAATTAAAACCATAAATTCCCACTCTCTCTCTCTCAATGTCTTCCAAATCCATCAATATCTTCATCTTCATCTTATTTCTACTCAGATTAGCATCTTCTGATCGAACCTCAGACTGCTCCAACCGTTGGATCTACATCAGACCGTTACCATCACGTTTCAATTTTGATCTCCTCTCAAACTGCTCTGCGTACCCTCTGTTTGACGATTTCTGTTCTTATTTACCCAATCACGGCCTCGGACCCAAAACCCATAACCATTCTCTCAGCTGGTACCGCACTGACCCAATCTTGCTTGAACAATTTTTTCACCGGAGAATTCTTGAATACCCTTGTTTAACTCAAGATCCCACTCTTGCCAACGCCATTTACCTCCCTTATTATACTGCCCTTGACGCTTTAAAGTACTTGTACGGACCCGAAGTCAACTCCAGCAATCAACACGGTCTTGAATTATACAATTTCTTACGCAAGGACGTTCCTCATATATGGGATCGCCACGCCGGTCACGATCATTTCTTGGTAATAGCAAGACCCGCCTGGGATTTTTCACAACCTTTTACTAATGATCCTCCCGTTTGGGGAACTTCGTTTCTTGAACTCGCTGAGTTTTATAATGTAACGACTTTGATTCCTGAGGGACGAGCTTGGGGTTGGCAGGAACAAGCGGTGCCTTATCCCACCAGTTATCATCCATCAAACTCCGTCGTTTTGGGGTCGTGGTTGAAACGCGTGAGAAATTCAAGAAGAAATAGTTTAATGTTGTTTGCCGGAGGAGGAGGCGTTGCTGCGACTCCAAATATTAGGAGAAGTATCAGAAATGAATGTGAAGATAATAGTACCGAGATTTCTGGAGGGTATTTTAGTAAAGTTTGTGAGATTGTTGATTGTTCAAATGGGATTTGTGAGCACGATCCGATTAAGTATATTAAGCCAATGTTGCAAGCCAATTTCTGTTTGCAGCCTCCGGGGGATACGCCGACAAGGAGGTCAACATTTGATGGGATTCTTGCTGGTTGCATACCCGTTTTCTTTGAAGAACAATCTGCCAAATCACAGTACGACTGGCATTTACCTCAACATATTTATGACGAATTTTCAGTGTTTATTCCGAAGGAGGATGTTGTGTTTAAAGGGTTGAAAATTGTTGATGTGTTGATGAGTATGCCAAAATATAAGGTGAGGAGAATGAGGGAGAAAGTTATTGAATTGATACCAAGAATTATTTATAGAAGACATGATAGTACTCTTCCTATGAAGAACATCAAGGATGCTGTTGATATTGCAATTGAGGGTACTTTACACAGGATCCAATCTAGGCTCAAATCAGTGTCAGTTCAATGACCTCACTTCTTTCTATTGTAGAACATTATTCATTATTCGTCTTTTTTGTTTACTACTTTGTACTTTATATTGTATTGTTTCCCGCAAACACGTCTGAGGAAACACAGTACTTGTATTGTATCTTAATTCGTAAGTTATAACAATACATGTTTATGACTTTGAAGATAAATAATTTAAGTTTATTAGGAGCGCCACAACTTTGAAGTAAAAAATCCAAACAAACAAAAAAGAGCTAATGGAGATTATGCGTTGGCGACCTCCTCAGTCATTTGCAGGACATATGTAATGAGAAACACCAACTGCCCGCGGAACAACTTTTCTCCTCTGTGATTTTCATGTTCAAGTAACTTTTCATCCCCATCTAAGAATAACAGAGCCCCAAGTTAGACCAGCACCAAAACCTGCTGCCACGATAGTATGGCCTGACTTCACCTTCCCGCTTCGAACAGCTTCATCCAACGCCAATGGTATTGATGCAGCACTTGTGTTACCATAATTCGCTAAATTTGATATAACTCGTTCTGATGGGACTTCTAAACGTGTTGCAACTGCATCTAGGATCCTTTGGTTTGCCTGCATTTTATCGAAACCTCTTATCAGTACTTGAATATTCTTTCATCCACAAAATCTCTGTTTCTAATTGAACCACAGAAAAATATATGTATAAAATGTTCAAGTTGAGAAATCTCAAGAGTGAGTTTGAAAGTCTATTTAACATCTTACATCTCTGCATTATTTCGCAGACTTCTTTCCTATATGACTAATCTGATAACTAAGCAGGTATGACCTGCCAAGATATTTTGAAGATAAGTATATATTTATAATGCTGAATTAATCAAATAAGATATGCTTTGCACATGATTTTTTACTGATGCTGACATTATATATCAAATTGTAATAATCAATGAAAGTTTCATCCTTCTCTGTTGCAAGCAAGAACCTCTAATTCCTATAACATGAAATTTGCGCCTAAAGCCGAAGCTCTCCATGATCTGAACCTTTTCAGTGGGGTTTTCTCTAATATGACAAGATAATGCATGATAAAGAATACAGACAGCAAAAAGATCTCATCTGACTGGCCAAACTCATACACCTCCAGGTGGAAGGTGAATATAAATCAAACCAAACAAAATACTTATTATGTAGACTCCATATCTCATACCTGATGAAGCAGTAACCAATCAATGCTGGACATGTTTAGACCAGCCTTTTGAAGGGAAGACTCAATTGTCTGTGGCACAACTCGCACGGCAAAACGGAAGACTTCTTTGCCATTCATATGAATGCATGAATAAGATGACTGCTTCGGGGGGAAGCCTAACACAGATCCATTAGATCCCAATACATCATCAATGTCATTTCTTTTGATGCCAGCATTTAGATGTCTGCAGTAATAAACATTAAAGCTCAGTTCCCTTCCTCTTAGCAAGAAACAAAAAGTTCTCTACTGAAAAATGTTGAGCACATACCTTTGGCCTCCACCATCACTATGCAAGTCAAAACTAAATAAACCATCCTCCTCAATGTCACAGGCCTGCAAAATCATTGAATTGCAACCGGAATGAAGTTTTATCAAGAAAAAATGAGCAGTTTCCAATTAATAATTCTTAGCCAATACTCATATAANATTGTTATTATGCATGCATTGTACAGTTTTCAGTAGATGTTACAGAAGAGGAGCATAGTGGGTTTACTTACTGAGCAATTAGTGCTCACCTTGTTGTTTTCAATGTTTTTACAGGTAATAGGTGAGATGTGGTCGCTTGGAACGTGACACAGCTGAAGGGTTGGGCAACACTGTCGAGTTGATGTTTTGTGACTTTATTATATTTTATAAAGATTTGTATTTAAAGAAAAATTAGTTATGGGCCCATTATTTTATACTTGTCTACATGTATATTTTCTTATATATATTTTGTGAGTTTTACTATTATTTTTCGAGTATTCTAACTAGAGAGTGAGTATTACAAAAATAGGTTGGATGGATCCAATTTCTCGAACTGGTATTGTAATCTTCGGATTATACTTAAATCCGAAAAGAAATTGTATATCCTTGATAAGCCATACATGGCTGAGGCTGATCCTGATGTCACTCAGAAAGTAAAGGATACTTATCAAAAGTTCCTTGATGATGCTGACGGTGTTCAATGCTTGATGTTAGCATTGATGACACCAGTGCTGCAAAAGCAACATAAGAATATGGACGCTGCTGCCATTATTCTACACCTGAAGGAGCTTTATGAAGGGAATGCTCGACATGAGAGGTACAAGGTGTCAAAAGCACTGTTTGGAAGTCGCTTGACCGAGGGAGCCCAAGTTGCCCTCATGTGCTCAAAATGATCGAGCACATGGAGAGGCTTGAGACTTTGGGGTTTGAGTTGGATGCAGAATTACAAGTGGGTTTAATTCTGCAATTCGTGCCTGACTCTTATGCACCGTTCAAAATGAACTTCAATATGAACGCTATGGTGAAAACCCTGTCGGAGCTTTTAAACATGTTAAGGACTGCAGAGCAAGACTTGAAGAAGTCCAAGCTTGTTTTACTAATAGCTGCCAATAAAGGGAAGGGTAAGGGCAAGGGAAAGGCCAAGGCCAATCCCAAGCACAAGCCTAATGGACAAGATGCTCTCAAGCGTGTGAGTGGCGTTGGGAAAGGTGGGAAGGTAGTCTGCTCCTATTATGGCAAGCGTAGCCACTGAAGGAAGCATTGCAAGACTTTCCTCGCAAACAAGAAGAAGTTAGATGGTTCGAATTCAAGTATGTTTATGATTGAGATTAACTTCTCTCCTTAAACATCTTTGGTCATTGACACAAGATGCAGTACTCACATTTGTACTGATGTGCAGTGACTAAGGCAGAGTAGATTGCTTGCCAAGGGAGAAGTGGACCTACGAGTTGGAAATGGAGCATATGTAGCTGCATTAGCTGTAGGGACTTACTGTTTGTCTTTGCCTTCGGGTAGGGACTTATTGTTTGTCTTTGCCTTCGGGCTTATTATTAGAACTCAAAGACTGTTATTTTGTACCTGCGATTTCTAATTGAGGTTGTAACAGACTGAGTATATTGCATTATCCGATGCGACCAAGGAGGCAGTCTAGATTAAGAAGTTCATCACCAAACTTGGTGTGGTTTCCATGATTGTTGATACGATAGATGTCTATTATGACAACAATGGAGCAATTGCACAAGCAAAAGAACCACGGTCTCACCAGAAGTCCAGACACATACAAATACGTTTTCATCTTATCAGAGAAATAGTTGAGAGGAAAGATGTACAAATCAGTAAAGTGCATACTGATGAGAATTTCGTCGATTCGCTGACGAAACCTTTGTCGCAGCAAAAGCATGAAAAACACTTAAGGTCAATCGGTATTAAATACATGAATGATTGGCTATAGTGCAAGTGGGAGATTGTTAGAGTAGGTGCCCTAGAGCCAATCAATTATTGTAAAATTGACTCTGTAATAAATGTTTATTTATCAACAAAAGACATATTCTTCTATATCGTGTATGTAATGATATATGTCCTTAGGATGGTAAAACCACGACGAGGGTATCAAGTGTTTCAAATCTTGATAGTGAGAACTCTATGATCACATATGGTGGCCATTCTAGAAACGTCCGTAGCCCTAGTATTATTCTGACCAAGGACATAAATAATACGGTAAGGCTATCATAGTGTTGAACAACCCAATCGAAAGGCAGTGACTGATCTCACTTGTCAAGGTTGTTTGCCGACAACCTGGTGCAACGCATGGGTGCTTGCTAGAGGCAAGTTCACTGGACAGACCCACTAGAGGATTCCATATGGATGGTAACCCTAGTGTCTATGGAATAAATCCTCTAACGGATGGTGATGCATGTGAACCTTAGACTTGAGATCACCAGAGCACCTTGTGCACCAATTGGTATAGTTTGACACTAGCCCAACGTAGTTCTATTCAGAGCTATCAATACGGTAGTGATTGGCTATATTGAGAAGTGTATGAAGACTATGGTGGATCGATAAATGATTCATCACTCTTGGGTATGGGAGAAGTTATCTCATTGGGTAATTCAGTGAATGACAATGACACTAAATCTGTGATCACAGTGGGATTGAGTTGATGCTCAATCCAATTTAATATTCCTGTCGTTGGTCCAGTAACTGAATACAAACATATCGAGGATATCTGAGGTTGACACTATTTCTGTACCTCAGTCTCGACGAGATAACAGTTGATGAAATGATTTGATTGCACGGTAACCATATCATTGACAGGCTGCAGCTTCACTGAATCTGAATATATCGGGTGGCCATGATGCCTTGCTAAGGGCCAATCTTGGTCTATGTGTAGTGAGATGATTAATTGGTATTAATCGCGATACTACACACTGCTGATATGATGAGGAGCTTACATGCCACACACTTAGAAGATAATTTAAGAATCAATTTGTGAGAAGGGCATTTTCATCTTTTAGGACGAAATGGTATTTTGGTAATCTCACAGTGCAATTAAATTTGCTGAGGTTGTTGCTTGTATTTAATTTTAATATTAAAATTAAATTAGTGAGATTATATTTAAATATATCTATATATATATTTAAGTGAATTATTATTATTAATTAAAATTTTATATATTATTATATATTAATTGATTTTAATTATAATAATAATTAATTAATTAAAATACCATAAAGGGTGTGTTTGGTTGCAAGTGTAAACTAGGGTTGGAGCCCATCACTATTCCTAAGTGGAATAGGGTTTTAATTGTTGCACTATATAACTGCAACTTAAAATTAAAACATATGTGAATTATTGATTCAATTAAAAAACCCTAGCCACCCTATCTCTTTCTCTCTCAAGAAGAAAATTTTTCTTGTTCTTTTTTCTTGATTCTTGAAGCCCTTGATTGTTCTAGCAAAATAATCAAGGGTTCTACGGATTATCTTCGTGTGTACTTCTGTGAGTACGATCCTACTTTGGATCGATTGGCAAAAAATCATATGAACAGTAGACAGTGAACAATAATCGTGAACAGTAGACGGTGAACAGTAACTGTGAACAGTGTTCCTATCCAAAGTCAGAGATATTCGGAGGAGCCTCCAAACGTACGTAAGTATTTAATCCTTGAATGGATTTACTTTATACAGATTTTGTTTATAAACATGTAAACGGTATAATCTATGCTTGGATCTTGGCAAAGAAAGGTAATTGATTTATCGATTGATTTTTTTTTGGTTTTCCGCTGTGTATGGTACATCAATTACTAACATTATGTGTGTCCTTATGGGGAATAATTGTTTTGTAAAAATTGTGCATAAACTCTAGAACTTATTTGATAACCACTTGAGGCAAAATCCTAGAATCCACATTACTTAGGAAAGGACTTAGGCAATTTTCTTTGGAATGATTGAGCCTTTCAAGCCAACCTTTATTATTTTATCCTTCGTTAACCCTTTGAGCCTATTATATACACTTGGTAAGCCTTATTTTGTTTTTTAAACCTACTATATCTCACCTTGATGATGAAGCCTAAAACACTTTCCCGACCCGTCTTATTGTGAAAGACTTAATTTGGTGTGACCTTGGAAGAAAAACTCATGAAAAGAAGTGTGGTAGAGGAACATAAATGTATCTTTTGGACCACAGCCTGAGTATGTGCAATGAGATAGGTTGGGGATTGTGAAAAAAAAAAAATTAATAGTAGAAGCAAGGTGGGGTAGACGATTGTTTTTATAAGTTACTATCTTCCTATGAAAAAAAAAAAAAACAGAAAAAAAATTGGAAAAAAGAAAAGAAAAGAAAAAATAGGAAGAAGTAGCTAGTGAGAAGAACATGGAATGGGGTTTTACATTATATGAGGGTTGGTGCAATTGTTGGAAGGAAGAGTTCAATGAATGTGAAAGAGTAGTGAGTGAATAAAAAGGGAAGCAAAGAGGAGATTGTTCATGGTCATTTACTGTAAAATATTAAGTCTCTTACATTTTGTTAAAATTCCTTTCCGTTCTTTCATAAACCATTACCCTAGCCTAACATTACAACCATGATAAAGACCTAATGATCCGAGGTAGTGAATGGATTCTGCATTAGTGGAAAGTGGTTTGAAAACTGAGCCTATGGAGTTTGATTGTACATTGTTATTGCTTTTCTCACTTTGCCTATGAAAGCTATGCATAAAATCATCTGGGTTTTTGGGTGAATGGTTTGTCACTGATTATGCAAGAGTCAATTACAAAAATGTACTTGAAATTTGCTTATTCTTTATATTTGTGTGTTGTTAATTATTTGGTTTGTTCATATTGATAAAATATTTGAGACAAATACATGTATGGTTCTAAACTTTTTGTTTGGGTCATTAGTTTTTAAGTCTAGGTTTGATTTAGATGTTTGTGGGTATCATCACTGGAAACCCTCATGAGACTACAACTCGTCCAACTAGGGTTGCCTAGGGGTTCAAAGGCTTGTTGTATATGCTAAATACAAGCATGACAATCTACGAAAAGTGATTTAAAGTAGATTAGATTTAGGTTTTAATATTCAAACTGAAGACTTATTTTTATACCTCAG